GACAGTCATACGCAGGATAAACTCAGAGAAGCACACAGTACAGGATGAAAAAGTCAAGACTGTATAAATGAATACATAAAAATTTTCCATGTACACATTATCAAAGCCACAACAATTGGGCCTGGTGCAGTAACCTAGTGACTAAATCCTCTCCTTGAATGTGCCAGGATTCCATATGGGCACCACTTCCCATCCAGCTCCCTGCTTGTGGCCTGGGAAAGCAGTTGAGGACGGCCCAAAGGTTGGGACCCTGCACCCATGTGGGAGACCCAGAAGAAATTCCTGGCTCCTGGCTTTGGATGGCTCAGCTCTAGTAGTTGTGGCTACTTGGGGAGTGAACCAGAGGACAGATCTGTCTCTCCTCCTCTCTCTATGTAGAACTTTGCAATAAAATAAATAAATGTATTTTTAAAAATCCCAGCAAGGGTACAATTTATTAAAACTGTGTGTGCAACAGGAAGTGAAAGATTGAGAAGATAGCGATGCTACTATATGCACTATGAGCTGATACTCACTGAAACAGTTCTTTCCAAATCAATGATTCTTGTAATCAACAAATTTTAGAGATAACCTAAAACTTCGATATGTCACTCTTGATCAGATGAAATTATCTCTCAACTTGCCTTTACTTGCAACAAAGGTTTTTATAAATCATTTGCTATGATATCCAGTTGCCGTCTCTTGGCTGGTAGAAATTTGTCTCTCTCTTCCATTCCAACCCCCAGCTCACACCCTGTTTCTCCCGTACAGTCAATATGGTATTTATAAATTTAGCTTACTTGGATAAATGTATCAAGAGCATTTGCTTTTCTATGTGCAACATCCTTTCAGATGTTCAGTGCCTTTGTGATGGATAAATAAGTTATTGATTTTCCTGGTTCCATTTGGTCCCAGTGATACAAAGTAATTGGACACTTAACTTAAAATGGAAAATGCTTTCTGATAACCTTGATTTCTCTTGACCTGAAAATCTCTGCCTCTGACTAGTTAAGTCGCCTGCATTTTTCATCATTCAGCAACAATAACTGCTAATGCTTTTTAGGCCTTTTTCAGTGTGCTTAATTATGTAGTAACTCATTTAATCCTTCCCTGGGACCACACCACACACAGGAAGTTAGGTGGCTGTCTTCTCAAGGATCAAGTATGACTAGCACCATCCCAGAGCAAAGTCAATTCATTCATAGACACCGCAGATCGCCAGAGTTTGAGCTTCCCAAGGAATCTCATTTTAAACACCGTATATCACAAGCAACCCCACAAGTAGATCATAATCATCATTCTCCATTTGACAGATTAGCAAACTGAGGCCTAGTGTGAGTGCCCTGACTAGGCACACCTGGCTAGTAAGTGGTGGAATCAGAATGAAAATCTGTCTACTTCCTGAGTTCTTTATATTACTCCAGTAAGTCCAGGCCAGAAATTCTTCCTTTGTGTTGGCAACAAAAAGACCTAATCTTTACAGCACTGCTCTTTTTAAAATTTTAAAATTATTTCAGCTGAAAATAAATTTGTCTCACAATATGACTATTAACAATTTATAAAACAAAGATCATAAAAACTTCCCTTACACTCTCACAGTATAAGCCTCACAAAAAGTTCTCAGAATTTAATTGATCACTGCCACCATCAACAACAGCCATAAAAATGTCAAAGAACCAAGAGTGAATTCAAATAAGTAGGACTAGGCTACCTGGCAAGAGACTGAGCAATCATCAACGTTCAGTATATATATGCTAATAAACACATGCTTTACATTTTGAAATTTAGAAGTAAAAATATGGGCAGCATTTACAGAACATAAACAGTCAATACTTTTTAAGCAATCCTAATACACAAATATGAGGATTGATAGTTCAGCAACTTTACATTGCAGTTCCTTCTGATGGCTTCTAATGTGCCCTCTCAGGTAACCTAAAGTACAAAGGGAAAAACAGAGTACAGAGGGATGGCATAGATAAAGATTAAAATCTCTAAGGAATCTCTTGGGGATCTAGTTTACAATCTATAAATCTAAAGTTAACATGACAGGAGAGAAAAGAAAATCAATGACTTCCATCAAAATGATAGGATGCCCTACATAAATACCTTTGAATTTTCATATTGTTGTCATTGCTAATTGTTTTGTACCTCATCCAGTAACCCAAAAGTTTTCTTCAAATTGGGGTGGGGGAGAGATATAATAGAGAATATAAAAACCTTTCAGTATTTCCAACTCTGAAAACAGGGAAATTCACTTTCAACACAAAGGTTGTAAAGACGAATCAAACAAACAGCAGCACAACTTGGCCAACTGATGAATAGGTCATTCTGCCGCCAATGAATATTTCAGCACAATGACTTGATACCTTTCCTCCTTTTACTTACAGGAGGATTCATTACAAATGCTTGGGTATGTAGATTCTTGAGTATATCTCCATTTTAAAATACAGATGCTTAGGATATCTTAACATTAAAAATGTTGGAAATACATTCATGATAAAATTAGAAGACAAATAAATCTTAACTGCTTATGAGCATATTAACATAAACTGAAAGAAATTTCATTTTTTTAAACTATGTAATATATTTTAATTTTATTATAAAAAGGACATTTAAGTTATAGCTTAACTGGCAAGACAGTAACCTCAGAACGATGCAAGTGTTCTGTCAGTTTCTTGAAAGCCTTTGTAAAAATTAGGTTAAAAAAATACTCAATATTACCAAATGGAATGTCTTAAGAAATTTAGTTAGGTTTTTGCTTACTGGCAAAAATTCAACAATTTCTCCTCTTGGAGTCAGAAAAATACAGTCAGTATTTAATGAATATTTCTTCTGTTTTCCCATGGAAACCAAACACTACTCTATTTCACTTGCTTTCTAGTTTTTGAGCTTTCTTAAGTTCCTATTAAAACTCTCATGCAAACTGATAAAAGTCATTTAAGTGAAATGTCTTCAACCATGATCAGTTCACTATTTCTTCAAGATCAAAATGGTGTCCAATATTTAAGCATGAAACATTACTGTAATTCTACAATGTAGTAACGCTTACACAAGAAAAATAACAAATTTTAATCCTAGACATCTTGTATTCCATTCTAAAGCTACTCAAGAAATGCTACTACTTGCTAGAAAAAATATATAATATGTGAGTTGGTTTCAGAATGGAGCTTAAAACCAGTGTCCTTGAAGGAAGATCTCACATAACTGGATAGTTCTACTCTGTGATACTTAGAATTTTTTTCTTTGTGTGAAAACTGTTGCCCAGTGCTTCTTAGTATTTGTTGCTTTTTCAGTAAACACCAAAGCCAATATCCAGGGGTTCACTATTTCATCATCTTTGTATAATTCTGCTTAGGATTTATACATTTGTAAAATGACATGGTTTTCTTTACCCAAACCATATAATTAAACAAAGAAATAGTATACTCTGCTATTACATTATTCCAGAAAAACTCTGTGACCTCACTTTACAACCACTGAACTGACTCCATTAAAGCTTAAACAATCCTATTTCAAAGCCAATGCAAAGGAGTTGCTAATGAACTGGGCTTTTCAACAAATTTGTTTTATTCGGTAAATACTTATTGAATGCCTATTCTGTAAAAGCAACATTAGATTATTTTACCCAAAGAACAGGACATTCACTGCCTCCAAGGAGTTCAGAATAGGGGAAATCACATTTTTTATCTGTTTTTTTCCTTTTTAAACATGGCAGTGAAAAGCTGGGCAATCTGAGACTCTAAGGTGGACTAAGTCAGCCAGTGAATTCTGGAAAGATTTCATCATGCTTGGAATGGTGAGACTGGCAGCAATTCAGGATTGTTGAACTATCAAAATGATTTGAGCTGTGCCCTCACAGCATGCCCCATGTTGGGGACCCTGGGATGGGTGGGGCTTCTCCTTTATCTCCCTGTTTACCCCAGATACAGAAAGAATAAAAGAGAGAGAGAACGAGACAGAGAATGTGGAAACAATGGTATTACCCATTTTCCTGTAGCCCTTGACCATTTGTGCCCTAATCAACTATGTAGATTATCAAAATAAAATAATTTTAAAAACATGCAATACTAGAACATATCTCTAAAGTTCAGGTCAGTTTTCTAAGTGTTTTAAGTATATTTCACTTACTCTCCACAACAGGCATGTGGACTAGGTACTATTACTATTCCTAACCTCTAGCAAAACCAAGGCCAAAGGAAGTTGAGAAACTAGATGTGAACACAGGCAAAGACAGCAGAGTTCATGTGTTTCAAGCTCTCTTGCCTTGTTGCCTCACAAATAATGATGGATGTATGAAGAAGTCTGAGTGGAAGTTTTTCAAAAGTAAAAACAACAAAAACATATAGTCTCTCCAAAAGATCACATCAAGTAGAACATGAAATAGAGTCCCCAAAGGACAATGTGAGGTCCAGGGGAAGAGCGGATGGGAATTCTGAGTAAAGGGAAAAGGGGCTAGTGGAGCAGAAGTTGGCTAAAAGGAAACAACAGGAGGACAATGAAGATTCAGAGCTTTGCAGTGAGAGGTTTTCATCCCTGTGTGGTTGGGAAGGAGATAAGGCTTGTACCCAGTTTGGTTAGTAAGGTTTTTTTCCTAAAAAACAATCCCAAGGAGTGTAGGCAGCCTAAACTCTGGGGTGACGAAACGCATATGCGAAAGCATGACACACTGTAGAATCAGAGAATGGATGACTCCGTGAAGAGTGCCTACTGTGTCCCACATCCGGGCACGTTGGAGGCAAGGGTCATCAGGCTTTCGAGCCTGGATGACTGGAAGGTTGGGACAATCATCAACAGAAGCTACAAGCTTCAGAAGGGGCTTAGCAGCTCAGAACAGGCCAGTGGGAAAGAAGCCAGTGTTGAAGACAAAGATCTAGAGTCACCTGCAGTTTAGGAACAGTGGCAAACGCTTCAGGAGTATGATAATGGAAAGGAACAGAGAGGACAACCTGTACAAACCCACACTTAATTCGGAAGGAAAGACAAATACCTAAAAAAAAGTAGGTAAAAATAGCACAGGTTAAGTGTTGTATGAAAGGAGAGGTTAGCATTTCCCTTGACAAGGATGGAAGAGGCCCTGGGGCCTGACAACACACATACGGTTAAGGCCCTGCTACCTACCTTGTGGCATCTAATCACTATTTTTTGATCACGCATAAGAGATGGTTTGATTGCCTGTAAATACCTGGGATTGTAAGTGTCCCTTTTAACACTGTTTTTGTTACATCTCATAGGTAATGATGTTCTAGTTTTAATTCTATTTTCTTCAGCTCACATGGGACATGCAGTGGCAGCAATTTCTACAAGAAGGTTTTTATTTTCTTTTTTATCACTCTAGTGATGCTTTGGTATTTTTGTCGCATATTTGTTAACTTCATGTTGATGAAAATTTACTCTTTTTCTCCCTGTTGCGCACTGTGCTCACCGGCTCTGTATTTAAGGGGATGTATAATGGAAGTGTAGCAGAGACTGACATGTTCAGATGTGCAGATAAAGTGAAGCATGTCTCTATGTATCCAGACCAAAGATGGACTCCCAGTGAAACAGTTGAAAATATCCTAACAGTAGGCTGCTGAACTTTCCGACATTGTCCCTGCCCACAAGGTCAGGGGACACTTCAATAACAGCATGATGAACTTAAGACTGTTCATGGAGGACCACCCACTGTAATACTTGAGGGGAAATCAATGGGTGGGGGGAGGGCAGTCAGGGCAGGGGCACAGGAAATTCCAAAGCTTATGGAACAGTACTATGAAACAATAATAATAGAAAAGATTAAAAAAAATAGCCGAGGTAAGAATAAAACTGCAGCAGTGTGGCGTCAAAATAAGGGACATCGCAAGGGGCCAAACACCAAGCTACAAGAGGACTGTCCTTAGGAAATGCACCGAAGAACACAGGAGCTGGATGCTTTTCAAAATGTTACTCAAGGAATTACTTTCCCAAAATCTATTCCCTACAGAAAACACAGGAAGCTAATTTAAAGTAAACAAAATAGTAAATTTAAAGTAAACAAATTATAGGACTTTAACAGACTGGAAAAGAAAACAGTTGCTAAAAACATATGAAGTTGCAATATAAATAAAATGTACAGCACCTACAGTACTAGCTTCACTCAGGATTGAAGTATTTAAAAGGCTGCCTTGCGGAACAAAGTACAAAGTATTCAAAGAAATTTCACTCTTGTCTCAAGTCCTTTCAAGTATATGTCCTCAATTCCCCAGTTCACTGCCCCCGGAGTACGTCCTCAGAGCATCGGGCGATTCAGCAGAACAAATGCTCAAGAAGGTATGGTAATGAAGTCACACACAGAGGGACCCCTCTCCAGCCCTTGTGAACCTCTCTGGAGCAATTTCAGGACCTTTAGCTTGGAACCATAGCTAAATCTGTGAATAATATGTAACTAATGTCACAAGAGCAACATATCCGGAATAATGTGTGCCTAAAACGTGCATGAAACTTTCAAATCTCATCTATGTAGTGAAGGAATAATTGGGAAAGAATTAGACTAAAAATATGGTGTTGGTAAGATGGCACTTGCAGTCAAAAGAACCTAAGAAAGGGTGTTTTTTTTTTTAATTTTAAAACTGTAGTGCCTAGACTTATTCTTTATATCTATATAATAAGAATATATTTCTGGACTCACTAAATTACCTAAAATTAGAGATTAGTTGGTCTTACAGAATGTTCAAAGACAGTTTGATGGTGAACTTGCCAGATTCACTTGCAAATTATACCCAGCCTGGCTTATTTAGCTTGAAATGTGACATTAACAAATCCATCATCTGATAACTCTCACTCTTCAGCACAGTAACCCTGGCCAGTCGAGTTCAGAGTTACTGCACGTGGTCACCTACAGAGTAGAAAAAAGAAGGTCGTGAAGGAGTGTTACAATGCTACCATGTTAACTGGAAAAGCTTAACTCATCTGCCTGTTTCCACTCTTGTTACTTTACAGACTATTTCTCCATCCTGCCACCAGGGTGATCTTTTAAGAACAGATCATGTTACCCTCCCCTCCCAGCTCCAGTTAAAATCCCCCACAGAGTACAGGGTGTAGTTGGAACCCAGCTCTGGCAGAGCCCTACAGCATCTGGTCCCCATTTCCCCCTGCAGCTGCACCCCACACCACTGTCACCTAGGCCTGCCTTGTGTTCCACAGCAAATCAAGCTCCTTCCCGTGACCAAGCCTTTGGACCTCCGCCAGCATGGAGAGACACACACAGACCAAGACGTTCTCACGCCTAAGAACTTAAAAGGAATCAAACACCTCAGTCAAACCAAACATAAATTTCTTATACCAGAAGTAGCAGATGAGCATTCATCTTAGCACAAGATATTAAGTTTAGCTAAGATGAAGATGAATGAATGAAGAACTATCAAAGACACTTCAGCAACTACCAAAGATCCAAAGTAAAGCCAAAGAGTGTACTTTCATACCTGGATAAGCCAGTCAAATTACTAGAAACAAGTAAGTTAGGATGGTGACTTTTATGTTATGCCATTTTACCATTAAAAAAAAGGTTAGGAAAATTTCAACATAAATTTAAGACTGAAAGTCTATAGCTTCTCATCCTGAAGAACATAAAAGCTGAGAACACTTATCTAGATCTATTAAGTAAATTATGCTCATTTGGTTACCATTTTGAACTAAAGAAGAAACAGCAGATAAGTGAAAGAACATATAATTTTGACATGTTTACCTTCACTTACATTAAAACAAAATATTGTATAAAATCTAGAACATAAGCAAAAAAATTTTTAAAAGATAGTAATCCAAGAAGGGGAAATGAATAATCTCCTATGTGGCTACACTAGAATCAAAGCTCCTCTGAAAAGAAACTGGGTCAGTATGCAATAGATTTTGTTTTAAAGGACTTATTTTTATTGAAAAAGCAGACTTTCAGAGGAGGATACAAAGAAAGAAAGATCTCCCGAGTTGGTTCACTCCCCAAGTGGCTGCAACAGACAGAGCTGAGCTGATTTGATCCGAAGCCAGAGCCAGGTGCCAGGAGTGCCCTCAGTCTACCATGCGGGTCCAGGGTCCCAAGGCCTTGGGCCATCCTCTAATGCTTTCCTAGGCCACAGGCTGGCAAGTAAAACAGCTGGCACATGAACTGGCACCCATATGGTGTCATATGGCACTTGCAGGTAGACGATTAGCCAGTTAAGCCATTGTGCCGCCCATTCATTAGGAATCTTGAAAATGGTTATGCTAAAGGAGGATGGTTCAAATCCTTTGGCCCCTACAGCCTCATGGGAGACTCAGAAAAAGCTCCTGGCTCTTGGCTTTGCATCCATTCAGGTCTGGCTGTTGTGACCATTTGGGGACTGAAATAGTGGATGGATGGAAGATCTATCTGTCTATTTCTCTCTGTAACTGATTTCAAGTTAAATAAATCTTTTTTAAAAAATGGTTATGCTCTTTTTACTAATAATTTCATTCCTATAAATTAACTCTAAGAAAATAATCCTGAATGCATAAGAAGCATAAAGTACAAATATGAATATTCATCAGGTACTATGCACAATGAAATAATGTAAAAAATGAAATTAATATCTGGTAATAAAAGAAATACTTTTACTTCTGTATGTTTCTACCTATTAAATAAAAATGTTTTTGAAAATTGTGAGAAGATGGTTTAAAAATTATGCAAGTTGTATATAACCAGTATCATTTCCGACATGAACAAGTATCTTTGCCTAGGATTTTTCTGCTTTTCTAGAGCTGAGCTTATAATAGTCAGAAGCAAAAAGCTATCTTAAGAAATAATTCTAATTCATACTCATGAGGAAAAAATAAGGGAAGCTAAACACTTTATAAGACATCCCCACAGCTATCTGTTTTCACTGTTAAGGTTTTGGTACTCTGAAATAAGGAGCTAAGCCTAGTTACATCTAGTATGTAACTGGTTAACACAGTATAGTTGTTTAAGATGGCATTTTTAAAAAGCCAACCCATTCACAAGCTAGCTTTTTAGAATGAAGCATACACAAATGGCACAATTATTTAACAATCATAGAGTCAAGAAACCCAAAAAGCTAGGGCTCTATGAGGCAGTACTTGATTTTGTTGTTTTAAAAATGCTGCCACACGGGGCCTGGCGTGATGGCCTAGCAGTGGTTAAGGTCCTCGCCTTGCACGCCCGGGATCCCATATGGGCGCCGGTTCTAATCCCAGCAGCCCCACTTCCCTTCCAGCTCCCTGCCAGTGGCCTGGGAAAGCAGTCGAGGACGGCCCAAAGCTTTGGGAACCTGCACCCGCGTGGGAGACCCAGAAGAGGCTCCTGGTTACAGATCGGCATAGTATCGGCCGTTGCGCTCACTTGGGGAGTGAATCATCAGACGGAAGATCTTCCTCTCTGTCTCTCCTCTCTGTATATCTGCCTTTCCAATAAAAAAAAAAATTAATAAAAATAAAATCTAAAAAAAAAAATGCTGCCACACACTAAATGTCTTTAAATAAAATGCTACAAAAAGTAGTAGAAATGGTTTCATGAGAAAGACAGGCTTTAAATTCAAACATCGAGGAGGTCATTTGAATTGGTCAGGTGAACAGTTCGGAAGCCAACTGAGGTGATAGGAACTGCCAAAGTCAAGGACATAATTAGCATCTTCTATTCCATAACAGCTGATGTTCAGGAAAGTTCTACCTACAGCCTGTTGTACTTCTCATTCTGCATATATTTTTTGGGCAATTACAGCTACTGTCATAACTTTTAACTATCACCACTAAAATGACAGCTCCTACAACGAATACCTTCATTTTGAAATCTTATCCCTAACTTCAAAATCAAATCTAAAAGCCTATTTGCCTACTCTATTTGAATGTTTCAAAATCAACATGCTTATAATTGGTTGTTCTTTCTCTAAACTTTGTATTCCAATGTACTCTGTTTCTGTAAAAAAGAACCATTTCCCATTGTGATAACCATTTTAAATTTACCATTTTTCATCTGTCATTTCCTTGTAACTATAGCCATCAGAAGAATTTCCTAAGTCAGCCTCTTCATTTCCATCTTTAAAGCCTCTGTCCTAATTTAGGCCCACATTAGTTTCTTCCTAAATCCTGCAGTTGCCCTAGCTGATATTCTTGCCTGTAATCTGAACTCTCGATGCACTTCAGAGATTAGCTTCAGTGTCACCCC